TTTAGTGTAGAACTACCTAGCCTATATTGTTTTGTTTTAATAGGCTGAATATACTTGATTTCAAGGTGATTTGAAAGTGAACCATTTTGAATTTTTGCTGATTATTATTATGAAATGATGAAAACCATTTGTAGCTCAGTATATGAGGATGAGGATAGTTCAATGTTGTCTAGGGTTTGACGTTGTGTCATGATTGTTTTATCATCAGGTTTGATGATATCCTCAGCATTAACTACTTCATCAAGAGGAGAAGTGGTATTCAAATGCTGTGTGAATGTTTACGCAGTGTTTTCGCTAACATTTAATGCTATTCACCTGTAAGTTAAGGAAAAGAGTTTTGTAACAAATTGACCTTTTCAGTCTTCAGTTTCATTGCGTCATGCTGCAAAGGAATCTGTGTTAAAGTGAAATAATCCCATTTATTACTAACATTTTACTTGATTTATTGATTTGATTGGTCAATTTCCACGTGGTTGAAGAATGACTAGTTTGTTTCCCTTTTTGTAGATTATGTCTACATCTATTTATATGTTGATTGACCTTTAAAGAAATTTTCTTATAACTTTTGTACCTGCTTTTTATTGGATTAAATCATTCTCGCAGATATCCTTGGTGTAGTCTGGAATAACGCGCTTATTGTTTTCAGGTTATTGCACTGCTGATAAACACTTTTTCATAAAGATTGTGTGGAAAATCATTGACCTTAAATACTTTGTGCAAATATATTTCGCCTGCTGAGTGCTACACGTTCAGGTGTGCTTATCGTAACAGGTGAATTCAATGCACAAGTGGGTAGGCTAAATCAGACAGAATGATAGTTATCTAGCACTTTGAAATCTCAGTTAAACGAAAAGATAACAGTAATCGCCTGATATGACTGTGCTTAGATAACCGTTTATTTCTTTTTCGTCAACACAAACTTCAAACATAAGGGGGAGACGTTGTTTGACGTGGCGTCCATCAACCTCAACTCAACGGTAGACATTGGTAAACCATATTGTTATCAGTTATCGCTGGAGAGGGTCGGTGGAAAACTGCTGTTCCTTCTGGAGCACGTGTTTAGACAGAGAACATGCGCTGGTCCGAGCCCGTTTATACCTGCGTCTCAATGGGCGTAGAGAAACTTTGACAACAAGACAATTTCTTCTGCAGCTTGACATCACTCATCAAGAAAAACCTTGTGGCCATCTCCAGTCTTCTGTAAAAACAGCGTTGAAGACCGTAGCTGATTCTCAAACAGTGATTATAAAGAGCTAGTGGACATCAGCAGCTTCCTCTGAATTAATGGATGCGTGCGGACGAACCTCTGCAGGCTCCAAACACAAGGAGCAGATGCAGATTGCATGTAGACTGGCAAAGAGTTTACTCAATGGTTGCAAACATTGTTGGGTAGCGAAGGCTAAATGGATAAAATTGACGGTGACGCGATAGGTAACGGTAGACAGTTATTTAGACTAACCAAGGAAACTTGGGCGAATAAGTTTGTGGTTATTGAGACTGTAGCGCAGAAGAAAGGGTCTGTGATTCACTTACAGGAAATACTACTGGAACGATTGGCGGAACACTTTGAGGGACAGTTCAACTAGCCTCCAGCTGCCATTTCGTTGGCAACTATCCTTCCAGATGCTGAATGGAAATCGAGAAAGCTGTAGGTAATCTGAAACAAGAAAAACCAGCATGACTAGATGGTCCAGTACCAGAGGTATTTAAGGAAGGTGGTAAAGGATTTTTGGTCAAATTAACTGAATTGTTAACTAGTGCAAAGGAGTGAGATACTATCCTTCTGACTAGTCTCAGTGCTGACTTCCCCCGTCTTCGAGAAAGATGAAAAATCCTCTTGTGATAATCGCACAATAATCATCAGTCTTACCAACATAGTGTCTAAGTTTCTGAGTTCTGTAGTCATTGGACGTCTAAGTGATGTGGGCGCACTTACCAGAAGTGAGGTCAGTATCCGACGTCGTTGACCGTGGGGTCTCATGATAGTAATTTCTCTGACTGAAAGGTTGGTCAAGCAATGTGTGATTCTGTTGAAGACTCTGTACTCGAAGACCCGTAGGCTTGTTAAAGCCTATTCTGAGTTGTCAGGTGAGTTATGTACATCGAGAATGTCCATTCTTTCCATTCTGATTCAACTGTCATAGATGTGCTTATGGAGATTTATGTCTTCATCCGACGTCACACTGATTGACCACATAACAGACAAGCATCAAGAAGTTGAAATGATATGTTAGAGATCCAGTATTGGTGGGCAGGACATTCATCGAATCCTCAAACAGCTTTACTGACCATTTCCATTGTGTCTTATAGATGCAGACAGTGCTTATCTAAAGTTTGTGTAGATTCTGTCGCTAGTCTTGGAACTAGACCATTTCGCTATTCACATATCACAGTGAGATCCTGTACTTAACCAGGGGTACAGTTTTTTTTGAATAATCTCAAATGAGAGTAGTTCATTCAGCACTGGAAGATTTTTTTTGACGGGAAAGTCATCTTTAGACCCCAAAATCCCTCATGAAGCACCCAACTGAAGAAATTTTTTTTTTCTATGGTGTGCATTAACATACTTATTAGAGATATTCCTTGTAATACATTATTAATAATAGCTTTATCCCAAACAAGACGTGTGGTTCAGTATTGAATTCTCAGCATATAATACTTCTCATCATCATTTGAGTATTTGAGATAGCCATAGTTTAGCAGACTAGTATTTATCCTGGTTGATGATTGAAGGTGAAATGAAAATTTTGACCGGGGTCGGATTCGAACCAGGGCCACCGGGTTTCTAGCCCAATACTCTACAAACTGATATACAAGGTCTGACTACCGGCTAGATTTTCATTTCACTCCAATCACAAGGCAGAGTTTTGCTTGACTCCTATGTGCATTCGTAACGCATTACTACCGCTTGATCGTATTTACACTGGCTGCTTAGTCAGTCTCATCCAAATCCAAATCTGACTGAATTAGAAAGGGGGGAACATCATATTGAATATCATTTGGTGATCTGAGATAGCTGTGGTTTGGCAGAGTAGTATTTATGCTGAGTGATGATTGCAGTGAAATAAAGATTTGATCAGAAGTCGAACCTCATAGCTCAATTGGTAGAACATTGGTCCGGAAACCCGTTGATCGCTGGTTCGAATCCAGCTGCGGTCTACATTTTCATTTCACCTTCAATCATCTACCAATATAACAGTTCAACCAATTTATTCCCTGTGTAATTTCTTTTAATGAAATAATCAATGCATTAGAATAATGTTTATAATGACAATAAAAAAGTCACAATGTGAAATAAGCACCTGGTATTACATTAGCATCTGGTTTGAATTGGTGAATGAATAGAAAAACGAGCGTAATTTTAGTGGTAGTAGCTTATTCAGCCATTACCAACATCTGCAGTTCAACATTGTTATCCAAGGAATAGTAATCTACTGTATTGCTTTGTATTTATAAGCTCATATCTTACAGGAGTATCGTTTATTCTTTGTTTTATTGTTAGCGTGAAAAACGTTAGTTTAAAAGTGTGGAAGAGTATTTAGCGCGTTTATAGGACATTATTTAAACGATTAAAACAAATTGAAAGAGAAGGATTTGATGGAATATATTGAGTGGAAAGTTTTCAGTAGCCCAAAGTTTAAAACATAATTGTTGTTTCATAGTTTTTTGTGGCCTTTGACAGCGTCGACCGAGAAGTAATTTGGCAACTGCTCGAACACTACGGAATACCACAAACCTTTATCAACCTCATTCAACAACTATATGAAGACGCACCATGTCAAGTAATTCACAATGCGAAGCTCAGTGATGTCTCTGAAGTGAAGACAGGAGTGAAACAAGGCTGCCGTCTTCTATCACCCATCATATTCCTGATTGTAGTGGACTGGACCATGCAGCAGACAACAGTGAGGAGCGGGAAGGGGGCATACACTGGCTGGACCGGGAAAAGATCCTAGAAGACTTAGATTTCGCCAACGATGACTTGTGTCTAATGTCACACAAACTCGAAGATCTACAGGCGAAGACCAACAAGTTGACAGAAGAGGCACGGCACGGCAGGGCAGGGCAGCGAAGACGGGACTTCAATTGAACGTAGAGAAGACAGAGGTAGAGGTGATGAAGATACCCAATCAACACCACCGCCACCACCACCAACAACAACAAGAAGAAGCTGCAATCACCATCAACGGGAGAAAGTTAAAGGAAGTAGCCTGTTTCGCCTACCTGCCTGGACAGCACCGTTTCAACCACAGGTGGCAAAGATGAGGATGTGAGAGCGAGGATTGGAAAGACAGCAAGACAGGAGTTTATTAACCTGAAACCAGTGTGGAGATTTTCTGCACTGCATTCAGCATACAGCGTGAACAACACCCGCATTTTCAACACCAATTCAGTCAAGTAAGTCAGTGCTTGTATGTGATGGTTGAGAGACTTGACACGTTACGAAAGGGATTTCCAACAAACCGCAGACATTGATGAACATCTGCCACCTAGGCTCACCCGATACTGAAGATGGTGATCAGATGAGATGGCCAGAATCATACGGATAAGCAACAAGGAACTCTGGCTGGCTGGCGATGAAGCAAGAAGCTGTTGGTGAACAAATATGCAGATGGAAGATGAATTGGAGATGGATTTTGCATACAGTGAGAAGACGATTCGGAGAGATGACGCGCCATGCCAGACCGTGGAGTGGAAGCCAGATGGGAAACGACTAGTTGGGTGTCGGAGACGAGGGTGATATGGAGGAGATGGTGTGAAGAAGAAATGAGAGGTTGTGGGTGGTTGTGGAGCGAGGTTTGACAGATTGCAGAGAAGAGAGTGTAATATGGAGATGTTCTACTGAAGCTGTATGTTCCACTAGGACGTAGAAGGACAAATAGTAATAATATAATAACAATAATAATAATATCAAATGATACGGAGACTAATGATAGAGTAATTTATATCAATTTGTAACCAATGCAGTTTTTAATGTGTCTATATTTTGCATCTATTAGGTATCAGGTGGTTTATCAGCTGGGGGTTTTTATTTCACGATCATCAGTTAGCATTATTCAAATCAGAACAACTTGGCCAATGTCTTTATTACAGGTCAGTGTAGATTTCATCATCGTTTCTTATTAATTGCTTTATTCTCAAAAACAAGGTATTCAGCGAAGAAGACTCTCTTCAGTGAATTTATTTTTGAGTTGTACATTCTATATATATATATATATATATATATATATATATATATATATATATATATATATAATATTTGAAGATCGTGAGGCAAATAAAAACTAACTGATTCGAGATTGAAATAACAATAATGATGGATAATGGCTAGCAGTGGAATCTAGGACACGCGTTTCGTCCTATTTGGGATTCGTCAGCTGGATGTATCTGCCTCTAAGTAAACGGTGTTTTTCCCACTAGGACTCGAACCCGAGATTGATCGCTTCATATGCTCTGGGCGTTATCCACTTGACCACTGTGTTATGATAGCCGTTTCTTGTGTGACGGTTCTAGTTTTGTTGTTATTTCCCGTCGTTGATTGTACCGAATTGAGCGATCTCTGCGGAAAGATTGACTCATGTACAGATTCCTCAATATTGTCTTTAGTTTCAGTTGATAGAAATGATAACAAGTGACTAGCAGTCGAGTGATAGTCATAGTTATAATAATATTGTTAGTTAATCACGTAAATATTGAATTATGACTAAAAGGCGCTACGTAAGATCTTGTTAAATCTTTTGTAGTGTAAATATAGATTACAATGGGATGAAAACGTAATAGAGCTAATAAATAACCAAAGGATCAGATAATGTGACTGAAACAACAAGTCAACTGAGATAAAATGAAAATGTTCCCTTTAAAAGTTGCAATTAATGAGAAGATTAAATGAAGTAACACCTGAATTTATTAAATATGAAAATAATAATCCTGATAGTTATGATATAAGAGTGCAAAGATTAATCTAATAAAGGGGGAAGTCGAAAGAACGAAAAGTAACTAAAGAAACTAAGACCAAATTAAGGCCAAGCAAGGTAGAGACAAAGGCTGTACGTACTTTTTATGCACACAAAAATTAGGCTTCAGGTCATGAAAAGTCAAGGCCTCTGCTGTTTTTTTCGAAGTTGAAGACAGAGAAAAAGTGAAATGTTTCAGAGAATTCAATAGATAACCTTGAAGTCATTGTTTGGGTTAATTGAATGGTTGGAATCGATTAGATATTCAAGGATTGAACTTCGAATGCATTCCTTTTCACCCTTATATAACATCATGCTGGATTATATTCTTGTACAGGTGTTGTCAGCAGTCACTGGTTACGGTAAACTGGTAAGATGCACATGAAGGTGGCCTGTCGACGGATATTGTCTTTTCAACATTTGGAGAACAATTTATAGCTAGTAAAGGGCGAATAAAGTTTCGCTTCACAAAACGTTCTACTAATTGATCTAGGAAGATGATTTTTTAGAATGCTCGATGCCACATCACTTTTAAATTCCAAATTCATAAGCACTGGATAGCCGTTTCGTTCTAGTATGGGACTCTTCAGCAGTGTGCGACCATGACTCCGCCAGGGATTGAACCTAGGACCTGACCACGGAACCTGAGGGTAGAAACGTGATAGCAGAAACCAGCAATCATACTCAATGTCTTAATGACAAGCTGTTTCACTTTGGTAGGCCTTCTTCGGTTTCTCAAGTCTATCAAACATAAGGGCCCAAAGGTTAGCTTCTAATTAGGTGCATATGCGTGATAACGATGTATACAGCAGTCCATGGAATCTTATTGATGTATAAAGCCTCAAAGTTCCCGGGTATCTACGCTTCGCTCTTTAGCAGGAATAGCAGCAAGTGCCTAACCTGGATTATCACTCTAAGGCGATGCTTGCTACTAAAGACTTCATCCCCTCCGACAGAAGGAGTGATGCAAACTTCATCTCTTTGGTATTTTAACGATGGCTGCTAATGCGGTTATCGCGATGTCGTTAGGAAAAGTTACTAAGATACTTGTGGAAAAAAATTACATTATTTCTTTCTAAATATAAGCTGACTATATTGTCTAGAATGATGAGAACGCAACGTTTAGAAAAAGAGTGTCTCTGGCATTCTTGTTCTTGTAATTACTTATTTCTTTTATATACTTATCGTAATTTGATTCAGTCCTTTGATTCTTGAGTACTATATGACCCCTAACCAAATTGCAACGCTACGCATCATCATAGAACAGGGCGTAGAATGGCAGTCAACGCTCCACCGATTTTGAAAAGACCTTCGATACAGTCGACCGAGAAGTAATTTAGCAGCTGCTTTAACACTACGGTTTTAGTGCCACAAATTTTTATTTAACTCATTCACCAAGTATATCAAGACGCCACATGCCAAGTGATTCACAATATAAAGCTTACTGATGCCTTTGAAGTGAAGACAGGAAGGGGTACTACAAGGTTGCCGCCTACTATCAATAATGATCTTCCTGATTGTGGTCGAATAGACTGAGCTAGACTTGTTCAGGCAACAAACCGTGAGGAGCAAGAAGATGGGCATACACTGCCTGGACCGATGAAAAGACCCTGGAAGATTTGGATTTCTCTGATGATGATTTATCTCTAATGTCTTTTCGCCCAAACTCGAAGATCAACAGGCGAAGACCAACAAGTTGACAAAAAGAGGCAGGGCAGCGAAGATGGGACTTCAGGTGAACGTAGAGAAGACAGAGATGATGAAGATACCCAACCCACAACAAGCACCAATCAACATGACGGGGGAAACCTAAAGGCAGCTGTCTCCTACACCTGCTTACCTGCATGGTCAACGCCGTTTCAACCACAGGTGGCACAGTTGAGAATGTCGAAGGCAGGATCGGAAAGACAACAAGACAGGAGTTTATTAACCTGAAACCAGTGTGGAGATCTACTACACTGCACTGCACTCAACATAAAGCCTGAACAACATACGGATTTTCAACACCAAGTCAGTCAATCAGTGATTCCATGTGATGGTTGAGAGACTTGGCACGTCACGAAAAGCATTTCCAACAAACTACAGACATTGATCTGATCAACAACTGCCTACGCTCCATACTGAAGATCAGATCAGATGGCAGAAAGAATAAACAACAAGGAACTCTGGCTGGCTGGTTGGCTGGCAACAAACCAACCAAGAACCTGTCGATGAACAAATATGTACTGGAAGGAAGTGGAAGTGGAGATGGATTGGGCATACACTGAGAAGACGATTCGGAGATATGACACGCTAGGCCGGGTCGTCGAGTGGGATCCAAAATGGAAACGAAAAGTTGGGCGTCCAAGGCGAAGGTAACATGGGGATCGTGTGAGGAAGAAATGAAAGCTTCTGGGGAGTCGTGGATCCAAGTTGAAAAGACTGTAGAGAATAGAGTGAAGTGGAGGCCTGTTAGTGAAGCTGTATGTTCCACTAGGAACCCAAGGGACAAATAATAGTAATAATAATAATGTGATCCCTTAAAACTCCTATTATAGTTCATAAGGCATGCGAATGAACACAGAATATTTTTTTCCGATAAATTGTTCTTCAGATCCTATAGTTACATGTCCATATTGTGTAATTTTACACTAACGAAAGTGAGATTTTTTATAACAGTTTCTTATTATTAGTAATAATAACTAGTTTAAGAATTATCTTCAAAAAAATCTTGTATAAAGGGTAGTAACAAAATCAGTTATTGATAGAATTCGGTTAAAAATAAATGAGATCATATCAACGATTATACGGGTAACGTAATACTACTATCAGGTGAAAGTGAATCATAGTTACTTCCATAATAAAAATCATATGCGTAAAGCGTATCATAAATTAGAAGGGAAAAACGTGGCTTCCACCTCAAGGAATCAAATTTTTTGTGCTCGCGATACACCTCCTAGCGTCCTAGTCAAGCGAAAGTGTGATAAAGGTTATTAACACCCGTATGATTGTTTTTATATTATACCGTCGTTGCGTAAACCTAATTAGATCGAATTACCAATAGAGACTAATCAATTCGGTCCAATCAACGATGGTATGATATAAAAACAATTATACTAAAACTATATCCGTCGCACAAGAACTGGCTATCGTGGCTTGGTGGTGTAGTGGATAACGCTCTGGCGTTTGAAGCGATCGCTTTCGCATCCGAATCCCGGTGGGAACAACATCACTCACTGGGAAGCAGGTACATTTAGCTGACCAATGAATCCCAAATAGGACGAAATGTGCATCCTGGAGCCCACTGCTAGCCACCATCCATCATTATTACCTAGTTCATACTGCTTGATGATTGAAGGTCAAATGAAAATTTAGGCATCAGTAGCATTTGAATCAGTGACCAGTTGGTAGACCACCGGACTAGAAACCTGGCTCAATCTTGATCTTTGCGTTCAAAAAGAAATACGTTCAATCTCTAATTTCTTTATCTATTGCTTGTTTATTTATTCTAATTCACTAAGAGGTTGTTAATGACCTTGGGATGACCTTGTAGCTGTTCTAACGGCTTTGATGACCTCGCATATTAACGCGTTAGCCATTGTTGTAACTATAATTCGTATTATGTAGTTTTTTGAAAATGTTTCGTCGTAGAAGAAATTTTCTCGCTGAATTATATTTTTTAAAATGTCATATGTCTGAATATCATAGATTGAATTAGTAATTCGCTTGCTTTATGATACGATTATTTTAATTCAGAACAAAAAACATTTTGTTCAAAATTTGAAAAGGTAAATCTGAAGTTTGGATCACAGTTAAAGTGTGAATAATAGGCGTTTGAAATTGATCAGTAGTAGTCATGATTCAAGTTGATACATCTCACACATCTGTATATGAAGCAAGATAAAAGGTAAAGAGAACTACAAAAGCAAACTATGATTGGAAGTTATAGAAGAGCCTAATAAGAAATCAAGAGGATAAAGATGATATATGGATACCTGTTTCCTACAGGTAACGATCCTCAGCTACAACACTCATAGAGTCTCTTACCACTGACTTTCGATGTCATATACATCCTAACTGGATGGATTGTCTTCATTTCTGTACACGCTTAGATTATCAACCAAAGAATTCATGCATTCATATTCTAGTTTGGTTACTTTTAAACTTTTTTCCAGGTTAAACCTATTTTAGCTAACATTGCGCAATGAGGTAAACGGTAGATTTGACATTTATATAATGTATATATCCTAGCCATCTGAGTTGATGTAGTGAATTACCTCTTTTGTTGAATACTCTACACTTTGCTTTTACTTTACGCAAGTGGGTAATTTTAAGAAATGTAATGTTTGCTATAAAAACAACCATAGTTGAACATTTGAGACCTATAAAATATTATTCAGTAGCAACTTCAATTTCGTTATTATTTACGAGGATATATGAATAATGAATGCAAAGAGGATCTGTTCTAAGCTAATTAGACAATAGTTTCTACTTTATGATTATCACAGACTGGTAGTTTATGTAGTGTTACTCTTATCATTATTGACTACGATGCAGGTGAGTGGTGATTTACTTCCTTATTAGTCGTACGTTCAACAGCCACTGGCTTAGTGATTAACATGCCTTCTAGGATGACTAACGGCCCTGAAGTCGATTCTTGGTGGAGTATGTGTGTACACTGTTGAATAATTGCATACTAGGAAGAAACAGCTATCCAGTACTTCAAGGTTTTCAATAGTTCTACAATGGATTTTACTTCATGATGAATACAACCTGGTAAACTGAACATCTTTTCATCACTCATATAATACCTATTTATTGATTACTAACCATTACAGCAGATGCTTAGCGTTCATATCTCACAGTTGTATCGGAGAACAGGATACATTTCTGTAGTGTTTACAGTTGAAAGCTGAGGAGAAGATGAATGCTTCATAGAATATCTATATTGCATATCATTTTTATCCAATCTTTTTTTTTCATACCATTTTGTTCAATAATTATGTTTTTTAATTGTTGATTTTTTTTTTTTTTTTTAAAAAATAGGCTGGAAATTTTGTTATTTGCTTATTGCAAGTGATTTACTTTAACATTCCACATATATGGATCATGTTCATTGTGATATTTTATGAAGGATGCCTTGGTGGTTTGACTTATGTCAATACATTTTACAATATTATTCAACGCGTAAGTTAATCCGTTCTTATTATCTTTTGTGGATGTATACTTTTCTTGTCAATTATATAAATTTTGGGCCCAGTGCTATATCACCAATTGAGTTACAAGATCCGACTGCTGACTATTAGTTCACTCAGTCAAACTGATAAACAATATTTATGCTCCCTGTCTCTAATTCAGTTAGATTTCGATTGGTATATGAAGTTCTGACTGGACAGCCAGTGTGACTATGATTAAACGGTAGGAATGCATTGCGAATTCACATGGTAATCGAAGTGAGGTAAAAAATTTGACCACTAGCCGTGTTTCGTACCTCAATTGGTAGAACGCCAGGCCGGAAACCTGATGGTTGCTAGTTTGAATCGTGCTATAGCCGAAATTTTAATTTCACCTTCAATTATCAACACTAGTCTGTCATACCACGCATAATAGACACCGGATGGAAACTGATGTATACGTCAATTCCTCTACACTGAGCACTGTCAAGTTTATCGTGTGATCATTAAGCTAAATGATTGTTATGGAACTGCGGTTCACTTTATTTTCGTTTTATACACTAGGAGCCGAATGGTGGTAAGAAAACCTTTTCGATCCAGGTTTCGGATCTGTTATTACTCATCAGCTACATTTTAGTTCGCGTGACTCAGTGAGGAGATTGAATAGAAACACATGCCTAGTCACTGTCTACTCCATCGCATAGCGTTATCTGAAGCAGGTTAATGCTGGAAAAAGGTTAGGGATGGATAGACTAAAACACTGACATCATTACTTGAATTATTTGACTGTTGGTTTGAGCCGTGTAGAGAAACGTAGACTTCTTGGTTGGAGGCCGCGGGACAACAGAAACCAGCAGTTGAAAACTCAGAATCGGACGCAGTGGTACACATGTATCCACACACCATCCTTATCTTAATCTTCATACGGAATTCAATATTTTCTTGTTCCTCCTTCCTCTCTGTTTCTATTTCCTACCACTTTTGATCGATTTTTCTCTATTTTTACTCTTTCATCTTAGTGCTGATATGAGGTGTTTGAGGATATTGACTGTTACGGAGTTAATGCCTGATGTAATGTTGTGATTGATGATGATGCGACAGGAACGTTACTATTTAGCTCATTTAAATTTCTGAACAGACATAATTTTCCTCGAGATAGCAAATATATATACCTTACCAATAAGTGGCAGCAGACATAACGTTAGATGTAATGCTTATTTGTGATCGATTTCGAATGTCTAACACCAAAATTTAGTAAACCTTTTGATTGAAGACGACGTTTATTACGGAGAAATAGCGTTACAACATCAGTAAGCTCAATATAGAGCATATTCGTTAAGCGAATTTATGAAGTATCATGTTATTTGGTTGGATGTAATCGTCAGGAAGCTTTGCTTGACCTAGGTTACTTGCTTTTTGGCACACATCAACAAATAGTATCTGCAACCCTTTGGGAACTATGTCTTCTCTGAGGTTTGAACCCACGTCACACAGTTTTGTAGTCAGCGATAAGCTATTCAAGCCATGATTGTCATGTAGGACTGCGTTACATACACTGGCTGATCACTGGAGAGCAATAAATTTCATGTTGTCTAGTCGTGAGTACTGACTAATTGCCTCCAACTAATTAACATCCATCAAAGTGCACGGATTCTTGAGCCTCCTGGCTTGATGGTCACACTGCAAAGTGATCGATAGAATTTGGTCAACACTCAAGATTAAACAACATGAAATTAGTTGCTTTGTAGTGATCAATCAATGTATGAAATATTATTTTTTTTACAATTTGATACCGATGTATTCATAGCTACTGAGTATATTATATCCCGGTGTTATATATTATAAACGGATATAATACGCACGCTTAACTGACAGGTAACTTCGTACGCAATAGACATCAACTTTAACGCGGGACGAATAGAGAAGAAGATCGAAGCTGGATGGGAGAGTTTATTTCTCCGAGATAATAATCAATTAATTAATCAATGAAAAAACAAGGGAGTATGTGTATACACATGAGATAGGACCTTGTTGGCAAATTGACACATTAACAGTAAGGATTAACCAATCAGTGAATTACATGACAAGGAGGGGCAGAAAATAAACTGCCAGTCATGCTGTAAAAATTGTGTCAGAATGACAATGTTCCGATCTATAATAATAAGGTCGACTTTAAAGGCCACCGTAGCAACAGTTAAAAGTCAATTAAATTTCTTGGTTTCGTCTAACAAAGCTGATTTTCATAAAATACTGTAGTCTAATTGGTTATTTCAGTTGTTCCTAGGGTGGCGCTTAAAATCTCTCCGATAAAAATGTTTTATGCAAGACTTGGGACCTTTCAACATCCAGTCAACTGCGATCGCATCAGCTAAGCGCAAGATTTATTCTCCAATAGCATAGGAGATCTCTTAGTTTACTGTGAAGTTGAAAGTTTTTGCCCTTATTAAACAGTAATACTTTATGAAATAAGGAGATATCTAGTTCACGTGTGAAATTATTTAAGTTATCCTGTGGACAAAAACGAAAGTTGTATCTGAAAAACTATGTGATAATAGTAATAATAGTAAATACATTAATTAATATAACTCACTAGCTTGATGTAAGTGTATGCACTAAACTTAATGTACAAAAGGGTTATGATGCTGCCCAATTATCTAAGTTTAAAGTATACAGGATAAAGTATGAGTCGTTGATTTATTGGTTGGTAACTGTAAGTGCAGATTAGCGATGTACAACTTCAACTCTTACAACTCTACACTGAAGAAAAGTATTTCTTCTTAGATGATGGAAATATCGTAATTCAATGAACATAAAATGACTCTCTATCAACTCCCATCTAGCCTGATACATTACACTGTTAACCATAACACTAGTGTGTTTTATTATTATTATTATCATCATCATCGATAAAACCTTCATTTCAAAGCAGATAAACAGAATCAACGTAGAACCATCTCACACACAAGTGTATCGGTTCACAGTAGTTTACATGGAACAACCGTATAGAAAAACAGTGATATCAAAGTAGATAAAGTTTTGTGAAAGAATATATCATTGTTACCAATTTTCAGGTATATTACCAAGAGGCTCTATCCAATGATTCCTATCATCTCAGGGAACCCAGTCAGATAGTCTTCATCTGTCAACACAGCTGAGACCAATAGTCAGAGACATCATTGATTGGTGCCACGTCTTAGCACATCAGGATAACTGATAGCTTGGCATGCGTAATACATGTCTAAGCCATCTCACCTCATTAATCGACTTGCCTAGTACCCTTCACCTGACCTCAACATTCCTCATACAGTGATTCAAGCGTGCAAGCAATGCTACGAAGATATCTGTGATCGAAACCTTGTGACTACTTTTAATGGCCGTGTCTGACGGCTTTACTATAGGAGATAATAAACTACAGTATTGCATTATACTCGTTTTTTCATAGATACTGGGATATCTTGTCAATTGGCGCCATAAATGATACAAGTTGGCAAATGCCAAACTGGCCTGCTGTATCCGAGCTGACATTTCGTTAGTAAGTTGGCCGTTCGAGCTGATGCAACTGCCTAAGTAAATGAAGTGATCGACACAATCCACCACTTCATTAAATTGGAAGGCAGCAGTTGTAATTATTATTATGCCATCGTTGATTGGACCGAATTGATCGGTCTCTATTGGCATATGGGCTCCTACGCTATTACCTCGATATTGCCTGTGTCTTGTCAACTATATAGTAATGATGGATAGTGGCTATCAGTAGAACCCAGGATGCGCATTTCGTCCCATAATTTAAAAAGATACAGGCAATATCGAGGCATCCGTGCAAGAACCCATACACGAATAGAGACTGATCAATTCGGTGCAATCAACGACGGTATAATACAAGCAATAACACTAAAACTGTACTATTCGCATAAAATGTGTGTATGGTGACTCGTTGGTCTATTGGATAACGTCCTGGCGTTCGAAGAATGAGTCTCGAGTTCGAGTTGTAGTGGGAACAACATGACTCACTGGAGCCAGGTACATCCAACTGACGAGTCCCAAATAGGACGAAATGTGCATCGTGGGATTCCACTGCTAGCTACTATCCATCCTTACTGGGCCTTTTTGTGTGATAGAAGACGGCATACGTTGGTGAAGTAAAAAGTCACGTTATGCACTGAATCTTTCCTTCTGAAGAAAGTAAACAGCCACCACTACTTTAGAAATGGTCACCACTTAATGGTTGATATTACTTTCAACCATTGAGTCTTGTTACCGGTTGTCAGTTTATTTGATTCGTTTTGTAGTCGTCAGATTGCTTACTATAGATTTCTGAATTAAACCAGAATTGATAGTTTGAAAAGAAATATTCAGCATTGATGCAAATGATTTCATCAGTTCTCATCTTTCTTAAATTTAATCCCTGTTATCTAAATTTTTTTATATTTGTCCTCTGATCCTTTGGTACAACATTAATTGACTTAAAAAGTGCATGTGTGATCAGATTCAGCGAATACATTACATCCTTCAGATAAACTTTATCTTCTAATTAAGTTACCCAAATTCATTATTTATTAATTATCCCTTGGGTTCCTAGTAGAACATAGGGCTTCAGTAGAACGTCTCCATTACACTCTCTTCTCTGCAATCTTTCAAACCTCGCTCCACAACTGCCCACAACCTCTCATTTCTTCCTCGCACGATCTCCCCCATGTCACCCTCGTCTCCGACACCCAACTAGTCGTTTCCCATCTGACTTCTACTCGACGGTTTGGCATGGCGCGTCATCTCTCCGAATCGTCTTCTCACTGTATGCAAAATCCATCTCCAATTCATCTCCCATCTGCATATTTGTTCACCAACAGCTTCTTGCTTCATCGCCAGCCAGCCAGAGTTCCTTGTTGCTTATCCGTATGATTCTGGCCATCTCATCTGATCGCCATCTTCAGTATCGGGTGAGCGTAGGTGGCAGTTGTTCATCAATGTCTGCGGTTTGTTGGAAATCCTTTTCGTAACGTGTCAAGTCTCTCAACCATCACATACAAGCACTGACTTACTTAACTGAATTGGTGTTGAAAATGCGGATGTTGTTCACGCCTTATGCCGAGTGCAGAAGATCTCCACACTGGTTTCAGGTTAATAAACTCCTGTCTTGCTGTCTTTCCGATCCTTGCTCTCACGCCCTCGTCTGTGCCTGTGACGCCTGTAGTTGAAATGGTGCTGCCTAGATAGGTGGGAGAGGCTACTTACTTCAAGTTTCTCCTGTTGACGGTGATTGCAGCTTGCTGTTGTTGTTGTTGTTGGTGGTGGTGTTGATTGGGTATCTTCATCACCTCTACCTCTGTCTTCTCTACGTTCACTTGAAGTCCCGTCTTCGCTGCCCTGCCCTGCCGTGCCGTGCCTCTTCTGTCAACTTGTTGGTCTTCGCCTGTAGATTTTCGAGTTTGTGTGACATTAGACACAAGTCATCGTTGGCGAAATCCAAGTCTTCTAGGATCTTTTCCCAGGTCCAAGCAGTGTATGCCCCTCTTCTCACTCCTCACTGTTGTCTGCTGCATGATCCAGTCCACTACAATCAGGAATATGATGGGTGATAGAAGACGGCAGCCTTGTTTCACTCCTGTCTTCACTTCAGAGACATCACTGAGCTTCGCATTGTGAATTACTTGGCATAGTGCGTCTTCATATAGTTGTTGAATGAGGTTGATAAAGGTTTGTGGTTTCCGTTGTGTTGAAGCAACTGCCAAATTCACCAATGGAGTCAATTATTTCAAAGTTATAACGAATGTCTACTTTCGTCATTTATTGATTACTTATATCGCTGTAGGTTGACGTGTTGAATGGAGATATTGGACACTGTTCCAAACTTTCAATATTCCCCAAGTTAGGATTTTCATTTGATTCTTCAGCCGCTAACATCATATGAGTGACTTGGTACGAAAACGAAGTTTATCATTTGACTATCTGAGATAGCCGTAGTTTGGCAGACTAGTATTTATACTGGGTGACGATTGAAAGTGAAATGAAATTTTCGACTGCGGTCGCATTCTAGCCAGCGACCACCGAATTTCGACCTGCTGCTCTACCAACTGGCCTACGAGGTCCGACTGCTGACCAGGTTTTTATTTTCCACTTCAAGCACAAGGGTTTTTTTTCCCGATTACTGTGTGAATTAATGACACTTTGCTCTGGCTATCTCAGATATTGTCAAATGATAATTAACATGATGCTTCCCGTCTCTAATTCAGTTAGTTTTCAATTGGGATGAGAAGACTTGATTAGGCAGCTAGTGTGAATACGATCAAGTGGTAGTAACGCGTCACTAATTCCCATGGTAGTCGGGGGCAAAACCGTGCTTGTGGTTGAAGTGAAATAAAAATCTTGCCAGCAGTAGGACCTCGTAGCTCAGATGGTAGAGCATTAACCCGTAACCCGATGATCGCTGGTTCGAATCCGACCGCGGTAGAAATTTTCATTTCACGTTCAGTTATTACTAAGTATCAAAACAAAGTTTGGCTGTTATCCCATATATGTTAAGTGTACTAGGCCTTAAATTGTAGAGAACCTAATCACGGAATAAGAAAGAATACAGAACAAAGATAGACACGTGAATGACCTGTACTGCTCATCCCGGGCCTTCACCTAACTTCATATGCCATGCTAGGTGAAATTGGATTTGGTTAGAAGACGGTTCAGAGTGACTAAACCAAAGACCATGACACCAGTCGATGAAGTCGTTAACTGTTGATTAGAATCGTGCAGGGAAATGTAGACTTCCTCGGTGGTGTCGCAGAGATGAATCTCCACACACTAACCGTAATCTTCAAATTGTTTATTCTCTACTTTGGTATCATTATTTTTCTATCCACTTGTTCTTCGTATACTACTGTAAAGTATGACTGCTTGAACCGATGAACTTGTGTGTGTGTCATTCATAATTATTGATTGGTTGTGATTCTCATTCTCTCTCTCTCTCTCGGCTATAGATATAACAATAATTACTGAAATCGAGATTAGATTTATTTCATCAATGATATTTTTTTTCCGTATTGTATTACACTTTTGTGTGTGTGTGTGTATGTGTGTATGTATTTTATAGGCACCTATTGTTTATCGAGAATATACAATGGCAATGGCAGCTGTATCTGATTCAATTGGTATAACTGGAGCTGGTTTCTTGGCTATACCTTTGCATAATTGGCTATGCGATAGACAATTGAATTAATGTATACCACTTTCATTGTGTATCACCTGATTGGAGTGTTTTATCTCTCTATTTTATTATTTATTAGTGATTCGTTGAAATGAATTTACTTATAAATTTTTATTATTTTATTTTTCTCTAAGAATATTTCTGTAATTTGTTTAGTAAAAGTTTCTATTTTCTTAAAAAAAAGAAGATTTTTGTACTATTTTTTCTGATGAAAATAGCTGACATGATTACATTCTTAGAGGTATGAGTTGTTTTATTAAGAAAAATCTTTTTGCATAGTATAATAAGAAGACGGAGGAAGTACATCACCTTATTGAAGCCTCTCTACTCGAACACTTCTGGGTATGTTAGAGCCTATGGTCAGATATCCAGGGAGCTATGCTCATCGAGTGGTGTCCATCAAGGATGCCCACTATCTCCATTCTTATTTGATTTCATCATAAATACTCTCATAGAGGTCTCCCTCTCGTCACCTGGTTACACAGACGTTGACTAATCGCAGGAGAATTTTTCGTTAGACCTAGAATACGCAGATGACATAGTCAGTCCTGTTAAGTGAAGACGCTGACAAGATGCAGAGTCTTCTGAACACTTTGAGTGGTGATTTGAGAATGTTTGGGATGCGTTTCTCACCAACTAAATGCAAATCGTTGTTCCAGGATTGGTCTTCAACGGTGCCCCATCGCGGTTAACAAACAATATAGAGTGTAGTAATTGAGTGTGTTGATCACTTCACTTATCTGGAAAGTAGGATCAGTCCTGCCTTGGTGGCTCAGTGGCCGATGAAATCTCTGCACGAATACAAAAGACTTGGCTGGCTTTTGCCAATTTACACCACCTATGGCGCCGCATGATATCCGTTTGTCTATTGAGGGTCGCGTGTACTGCACCTGCACAACAGTCCACTCTGTTCTACTCCATGGCTGTGAAACATGGTCATTGAAGGTGGAAGATATGAGAAGGCTGGCTTCAAGTGTTTGACCACCATCGCCTTAGTAGTATAGGACGTATTCAGTGGTGTCACCACGTGAGTAATGCAGAAGTCAGGTATAGAGTTTTAGGGAGAAGAGGTAAATCAGTTGACGAGGTTGTGAACCTTCATCGACTGAGATGTTTGGCTCTGACACGTATTACGTATGCCTAGTCACCGATCGCCTCGTCACACAGTGTTGGCCGAGGCAGGTTCAGGCTGGAAAAAGGTTCGAGGTGGTCAGACTAGAACATGGCATCAATGTCTTTGAGTGTTGGTTTGAGCCATGTGGGGCGATGCAGACTAGGTGGTTGGGGTCGGTGGGAGAAGAGGAACCAGTGGTTGGAGACTGACTCTAGGTGACCACATGGCTCAGAACCGAAGTCGGTGATGCAGAAGAATACACACATTATCCTCATCTTAACGACACTGTACCGAATCTCACCATTTTCTCATTCTTCCTTTCTCTCTTTTCGTACTTTATATTTCTTTTGACTGAATTTTCTTATTTCATCTTCCACTTTACTGCCTTGTTTACTTGATGTACTGATATGAGTTGTGGTCACGTGGACCGTCATTCCGTAATGCCTGGTTCTATGTTGCTATTGATGATGATGATGAGATGAATAGTGTGGTTAGCTAGTTAGGATAGCGGACAGGAATTCATCTAAATAATGTCGCAATCAGCTGCTTCTATGGTCGAAAAAGGAGCATTTCAAGTGTTGCAGACATGTGAACATAGTGAAACTTGTTGTACTGATCACTGTAAATTATGAATGTTATGACTGAACAATGGGAACTCGCAGTGTAGCGCAACTATCCGCTTCACTTCCGAATTGTTTGACCCTACAGATTATGGCTGCTTCCTTGTGCCTTTGGATAGCCATCTCGAAGTCTAGTTGAGCTTTTTGGTGAATGAGGTTTCAGTAGCACATGAATCTTATCACAGTAGAAACTCAACACAATTATCCTCCTGAGGTCTTTTAGGTGTCATGTTTCCTCAGTGAAGTTATAACGCTACTGCAACTGGTCTGATAAATCATGAACTGAGTTTAAGACTACGTTGTATATGTCATCATCGTTCTATATGCCTATCAGCTTCATATATAAATAATCTTATAAAGGAAGGTAAATCCGTTGTTTACAAGAACATGGATAGCTTATGCCTAGTATTTCAGTTTTAATAACTGGTGTCAAACAGAAATGTTCACCCAAAAGACTGCAGTAATCAGAAATAGGTGATTAGTGGCCGGGAATAACTTCACAGGTTTGGTAGTGCGCTTCTGACCGCTCATCTTTCCGACTATGTGTAGAAATTATTCTGGGAAGTAACTATGCCTCTGTTATTAATTTATAAAAGTTTTATTAATTCTAGCTAAAACTAACTTTCAGCGCCATTCTGGCTACGAATTTAGAGTTTCTATAGAAAAGAATCTAGAGTAATTGCAAATGTGTTTGTGCTCTCAGAATGTACATGTGAATGATAAATCACTGAAAATGAAACTTCTGGAAGGTGTTGTCAAAGTATTACACAATCTTTTTTTTTATAAATATCTTCATCAACCCAATGTTTAAGTTGTAAAAACTTGATTCTTTCTCACTGAAGAAATTGTTAACCAACCATCTTCTGCTTCACATATTGCATCGAGTATATTTTATCCCTTGTGTGTGTGTGTGTGTGTGTGTGTGAGGTTGTATTGTTCTAAACAGGCAGTCTATTCGTACCTCGTGATTGCTAATCCCGGTCAATACATGAATCTGTAACGAAAAGCTAACTAAATCTGGCTTGTGGAACCTTCCATCTAATTCGGAGCAGTGTGATCATTGAATGCTTTGACATGATGCTGACAGTATACTTCTGCAGGAATAAATTGTTAACAAGAGTACCAGAGAGCTGTACCTATAAATCTAGAAAGGCGATTTAAACTGGATGCGGGGCAACAGAAATTGGTTTCTGGACAAGAGAAGTGTATCCCTCTCGCTCCCTCACAGTATAGCGGATAATGAATTCTGATGTCCTTTGATAAAGAACTTGAAAATGTAACACGTAATTAGCCGTCCGTCTTAGTTTTGTAATATAAAACAACGATATTTTCATGTAGCTTATGAGATAATTGGTTGCAAAATATAATCGAAATCAGCTGTAACGATTTCAAATTATATCTTTTAATTTATCAATGTTGGAATGTACTCAGACTTCATACTTTATATTGAAACACTCACAAGTTAGCTAAAATTTATTCCAAATGGGAAGTGAAATGCACTCATCAAACCATTCATGTACATATTGAAATTTAATTTTACTACCGTTTTAAGCATTCAACGCAACTGTTAATTTGCAGTATTATTATTTGTCCCTTGGGTTCCTAGTGGAACATACAGCTTCACTAACAGGCCTCCATTTCACTCTCTTCTCTACAGTCTTTTCAACTTGGATCCACGACTCCCCAGAAGCTTTCGTTTCTTCCTCACACCATCTCCATGTTACCTTCGCCTTGGACGCCCAAATTGTTGTTTCCATTTTGGATCCCACACGACGGCCTGGCCTAGCGCGTCATATCTCCGAATCGTCTTCTCAGTGTATGCCCAATCCATCTCCACTTCCTTTCAGTGCATATTTGTTCAGCGACAGGTTCTTGATTGGTTTGTTGCCAGCCAGAGTTCCTTGTTGTTTATTGTTTCTGCCATCTGATCTGATCTTCAGTATGGAGCGTAGGCAGTTGTTGATCAGATCAATGTCTGTAGTTTGTTGGAAATGCTTTTGTGACGTGCCAAGTCTCTCAACCATCACATGGAATCACTGATTGACTGACTTGGTGTTGAAAATCCGTATGTTGTTCACGCTTTATGCTGAGTGCAGTGCAGAGCAGTGTAGTAGATCTCCACACTGGTTTCAGGTTAATAAACTCCTGTCTTGTTGTCTTTCCGATCCTGCCTTCGACATTCTCAAGTGTGCCACCTGTGGTTGAAACGGCGTTGACCATGCAGGTAAGCAGGTGTAGTAGACAGCTGCCTTTAGGTTTCCCCCGTCATGGTGATTGGTGCTTGTTGTTGGTTGGGTATCTTCATCATCTCTGTCTTCTCAACGTTCACCTGAAGTCCCATCTTCGCTGCCCTGCCTCTTTTGCCAATTTGTTGGTTTTTGCCTGCAGATCTTCCAGCTTATGTGACATTAAACATAAATCATCATGGGCGAAATCCAAGTCATCTTCCAGCTTCTTTTCATCGGTCCAGCCAGCATATGCCTCGCTGCCCACCGTTTCTTACGTAACCCAGTTGACCACAATCAGGAAGATCATTGATGATAGTAGACAACCTTGTGGTACTTCGTGGTGTTAAAGCAGCTGCTGCTAAATTACTTCTCGGTTGACTCTTTCCAAGGCCTTTTTAAAAAATGTTGAGGTTGAGTTGACTGGCGTTCTGAGCTTTGTTCTATGGTGATGCGTATTGTCGAAATTCGGTCCGCACTTTATTTGTACTTCTTGAAGCCAGCCAGTGTGTTCTGGTCGTAGTTATGAACTCTGGCATTTTTTAGTCTTTCCAGGATGATATGACATAATATTTTGGTTGTGGTGAACAGAAGTGGAGCATGATTCCACACCAGTTCTTGCATAGACTTAGGTCCCTCACTCTTCTTTGGGAGTTTGACAAGCTAGCCTTTCTTCCAATCTGCAGGTATCTTTCCTTCCTTCCAAACTTTCTGTAATAGTGGTGTGGGCATGCCCGTTGATGTCTCTGTGTCTGCTTTCAATGCTTCTGGCGGAATTCCATCTAGTCCTCCTGCTTTACCTGATTTCAGCAAATTTATGTCGTTCACGATTTCACTCCTGCTTTTGTCGGGGTGTTTGTGTTTCCTGTTAGTCCGTGGCTGGGCTGCTGGTGGTATTTCTGGACGATATCCTTTAAAGATATGCTGAAAGATTCGAGTTTTCCAGTGACTAAGGTCAATCAATATGAAACGTGAAACAAAAATCTCGTTTATATCACTGTTTATTAGTTAGGTCATTCTTAATTTCTGAGAAAATCTAGTCTCACTATTATC